ATGATGGAGACCATGGTGGTCCAGGAGGTGGTGGTGATGCTGTTTGTGACGGTAATGGCAACGTTGTGGTAGTGGCAGGCCAGCTTGCAATCGTGATGGTCATGACGATGATAATGTTCGTGTGGTGCTGATTTAAGGCGATGCGGCCGTGGCAACGATGAAGGTGGGAGAAGTGGTGGGGCGGAGGCCTCACTTTGCGAGCGCAGCTCCGATTTTGAAGTGGTTTCGCTGATTCACTGCGCGCCGTTTGCTACAAAACGACATTTGGTAGATCATAGGGGGGGGGCGAGCATATATATATATATATATATATATATATATATATACTGCACATTCGCCCAGCATAAAAATTAACCATACCATCCCAGGCAGGCCGGATTCCCCCTGAGGCTCACTTGTAAAAAAACACTATGCGGTGACATTTGTTGTTCTAGCATAACACTTCTTTCACGAATCCCTTGCAGCAAATGAGACGACATGCACACGCGCGCGTCGTCGCGCGCGCATGCCGAAATCCTTCAAAAACCTTCGGTTCCGGAGAAATTACAAAATTGAACTACCAAAAAAACATACCAGAACAGATGGTTTCGAAGCATTGACTGGCTAAAAAAGCTTACGCGCGAGCCTTTTGCGAAATCTTAAGAAAACCATAGGTTTCCCAAGCTTTTCGCAAAATGCTACCAAACGGGCTTCGCTCGCGCGCATGTCGAAATCTGCGAACGCCCTTGCGCGTGTGCCGTCGCGAGAATCCTTTTGCCAAAAATGTGACGAAGTGCAGACGCGCGCGTCGTCGCGGGCGTATGCCGAAATCCTTCAAAAACCTTCGGTTTCGGAAGGATTTCGAAATCGTGCGTCCGAAAAACATACAAAAACACATGATTTCGCAACACGGGTTTTCAACAAAAGTGTGCGCGCGCTCTGGCGTCGTCGTCGTCGTCGTCTTCCCTCCCCCCTCGTCGTCGTCGTCGAAGTCGTCGTCGCCGTCGTCGTCTTCTGTCTTTCCTCGTCGTCGTCGTCGTCGTCGTCGTCGTCGTCGTCTTGGCGTCTTCGTCGCTTCCGTCGTCGTTGTCGCCGTGGTCGTCCTTCCTCCCTCGTTGTCTTCGTCGGCGTCTCGTCGTTGTCCCTCCTATTTCGTCGCCGTCGTCGTCGTCGTCGTGGTCTTCACTCCTCCCTCGTCGTTATCCTCCTCCCTCGTCGTCGTCGTCCGTCGTCGGCGTCTCGTCGTCGTCCCTCCTATTTCGTCACCGTCGTCGTCGTCTTCGTCGTCGTTGTCGTCGTCGTCGTCGTCCCCTCCTCCCTCGTCGTTGTCGTCGTCGGCGTCGCCGTCCTTCCTCCTTCTTCGTCGTTGGCGTCGTCGCCGTCTTCCCTCCTCCATCGTCGTTGTCGTCGTTGTCGCCGTCGTCGTTTTTTCTCCTCCCTCGTCGTCGTCTCCGTTGGCGACGTCGTCGTCGTCTTCGTCGTCGTCGTCGGCGTCGTTGTCGTCGTCGTCGGTGTCGTCGTCGTCGTTGTCGTCGTCGAAAACATTGGAGACGTCGTCGGTGTCGTCGCAGTCGGTGTCGGCGGCGCCGTCGTCGTCGATGTCGCTCTCGTCGTCGGCGTCGGTGTCGTGGCCAAGTGCCATGTGGTACCTACCGTCACGGTCTTGTCTGAAGAGGTCTTGCGACCAAGTTGCGGGTGGGAGAGTGGGATGTTTGCACAAGCAGTGGAGAGGACAGCTTCAAGACGGTCAAGCTTAATTGCACCACGTAGATTGCGCCGCGTAGTTTGCACAGCATATCTAGCTCCGCGTAGATCGCGCCACATGGATTGCACAACGCATATTGCATCACATTGGGTGCACACCACAGATTGCACTTCATAGGCGGTGCAACGTGTATTCACGGATCCGTTCGGGCAAAGTCCGCTCTTTCGGGGAAGGGTCAAATGGACCGTGGGAGGGCCCAGCGGGCTCCGATACAGCCCGACGGATCGGCCTGATTGTGCGAGGCGTGCACCCCTCCAACGAGGCGCGCTTCTCCGACCTGCTTGCTTGCTAGTCCGCGTGGCGTCCCCTCGCCAGGCCGCCGTACGCTGCGTGCTGCACGCAGGTTGTCCCCAATATTGCACGACTTAAACCTCACCTGACAGCTTGCCAACACATATTGAACCGCATCTCTGTATTCTATCTATATATATATATATATCCAGATTGCACCAAATGGATTGCACAACGTGTGTTTCACCACGTACATTCTACCACAGAGATGCCGCCACACGTATTGCAAAACAGGATTGGCACCACGTGGGTTGCACTGAACAGAGTGCACCACATAGACTGCACAGCATATATTTCACCAGGCAGCGTACACAACATATACCGCACCACGTGTATTGTGCAACACACACCGCGCAACATATATTGCTACAGCTACACTCTTTGGGTTCCACGTTTGATCACACTCGTCTTTTCTTAGGAACCAGTCGGTGCGCTGCCACACCCGGATTTGATAGGGCGACGTTTTCTAACATAGACCCCATCTTTCTCACAGTGTCTCACGTTGTTTCCTGTTGTTTACGGTTGTCTTTCCCATCTCCGAAAGAGCATGCTCTACCGTTGGTGGCGGAAAACCGGGGGGGTCACTGGGGGTTCCCAACCCGTCCCCCCCCCTTCAAAAACCCCGGGTGGGGGTCACTGCCGGTTCGTGATCTGATCCCCCCCCCTTCCCCCCTTCCATCATGAAAAGGGGGGAGGGTCACTACCGGTTCGAATCCCCGTCCCCCCCCCCCAGCAAAGGATTCCCGCATATCGGGAGACAGTGGGTCAGTGGTGGGGATACTTGGACAGTGGTGGGGACGGTGGTGGTGGGGACAGTGGTGTGGGGACAGTGGGACAGTAGGACAGTGGTGGGGACGGTGGGACAGTGGTGGGGACGGTGGTGGTGGGGACAGAGGCGAGGGCCAGCGGGACAGTGGTGGGGACGGTGGTGGTGGGGACGGTAGTGGTGGGCAGAATGGTGAAGGCGGTTCTGAGGACGGTGGTGGGACAGTGGAACAGTGGGGAGAGTGGTGGGGACAGTGGGGACAGCGGGGCAGTGGTGGGAACAGTGGGGACAGTGGGGACAGTGGGATAGCACAGTGGGACAGTGGCGGGGACAGTGGGACAGTGGTGGGAACAGTGGGGACAGTGGAACAGCGGTGGGGACCGTGGGGAAACTGGGGAGAGTGGGACCGTGGTGAGGCACTGGTGGGGACAGTGGGGACAGTGAGACACTGGTGAGGGCACTGGTGGGGACAGCGGGGACAATGGTGGGATCAGTGGGGACGCTGGGACAGTGGTGGGAACAGTGGGACAGTGGTGGGGACGGTGGTGGTGGTGGGGACAGTGGCGTGGGGACAGTGGGACAGTGGTGGGGACAGTGGAGACAGTGGGACACTTGTGGGGACTGTGGTGGAGGGGACAGTGGTATGGGGACAGTGGGACACTGGTGGGGACAGTTGGGACAGTGGGACAGTGGTGGGGACAGTGGTGGCGGGGACAGTGGTGAGGGTGGTGGTGAGCACGGTGGTGGGACAATGGGACAGGGGTACAGTGGGGACAGTGGTGGGGACAGTGGGGACAGTGGGGACAGTGGTGGGAACAGTGGTGGGAACAGTGGGACAGCTCAGTGGGACAGCGGCGGGGACAGTGGGACAGAGGGGACAGTGGGACAGTGGTGGGGACCGTGGGGAAACTGGGGGGAGTGGGACCGTGGTGGGAACAGTGGTGGGCACACTGGGGACAGTGCGACAGTGGTGGGGGCACTGGTGGGGACAGTGGGGACGTTGGTGGGAAAAGTGGGGACAGTGGTGGTGGGGACGGTGGTGCTGGGGACAGCGGTGGGGGATGTGGTGCGGGCGGTGGTGGGGACCTGGGAGTCGTTTGCCGGCGGTGAGGGGGAGGGGGGGCTTCAAACCAGTAGTGACCCCCCCTCCGCTTTTCCGGAGGGAGGGAGGGAGGGGTGGGGGGGGGTGCCAGGGGAAGCGGGGGGAGGGGGGGGGTCCAGCGGGGGCTTTGCAGGGCTCTGCTGTCGACCGGCCCCGCGAACGATTCCCCGATGGGATCCATTGTTCCTGGCTCTACTCTGTATGCTCCGGCACCTCTGGAATCCATCTTCTCTCGACGATCTCGGTCAATAGTCGGATGGCCTCTTCTCTGCTCAATGGGAGTGGTTGGCTCAAACTCCCGTTATTTATGCTTCGGGTCCGGAGCGCTCGGCACACCAATGTATCTGTCGATATCAGTAAGCGTTTATACAGCCTGCACTGCTGAGTGGAGGGTTTGCGACTATCTTTTTCCACTGGTTTGGCAACCATGGTTTAGTCTTGAGCCAAAGTGGTTTCGGACATAAGCTGTCCTGATGCCGGAAGCGGCATTGCTACGCACCTCGGGCGGAGCTCTGACCAGAGGTGGCATTGCTACGCACCTCCGGTCAGAGCGCCCAAGCACTGTGGCAATCTAAACGGTCGCCGTGGCGCCGGCCAGCGCCCGGCGGAAACCGTGACAAGCCCGATCTCGGGCAAGAAATTCGAACCGGAAGTTTTTAATTCGCGCCTCGGGGTCGTCAGGCCCGACCGCCCACCCCAAGAGGCAAGAAAACGACCGATGAACACTTGGACCAAAAATCCCGGCCCGTCGTTTTAACGCTGCGGTGATCTGTACGTGCTATGCCTCACGCACCGCACTGCACAAACGGAAGCAACGAAATTGTCACGAATTTCGGCTCTGCCGAGCCTGTTCTTCCACGCTCCTCCTCTCCCGCGGCGGCGGTGCCAAATCGAACGCCGCAAGGGAGTCTAGGCCTCTGGCCTTGGAGGAACGGGTGAGGCAGGGGCCCCAAACAGTTCAACTGGAAAATCTCAAAAAGTTAGTGGCGACACTCACGCACTCATCAGAATGCAAGGCATGAGACCGTCGCTCAAGGGACTGGCGGCGGAGGAAGAGGAGGAAGATGAAGGTCAAGCAGGCCCAATGCACGGCGAACCTGCCCCATCATGGGTACCGAGAACGTCTTGGTCAGGCCGTCGGCCTTCTGCTCGGCCGACGCCACGAAGCCCAAAAACAGCAGCCCGGCCTTGATCCTGGCTCTCAGTGCTGCTGCGCGGTTCGCCAGGCACCTCGTCCTCCACGACCCCTGACCCTTGAACATGTGGATCGAAGCCTGACTGTCTCCAAACGTCTTCGGGCTCTCCGCCTCGATGAGCATGCTGCCGAGCACGGCCTCCACCCCTTCCAGCACCACGCCGCCCAGGGCGAGTCCCTTCACCTCCGCCTCTGCCGTGGGCCTCGCGGGCTGCGGCTGTGTGCACGACCGCCAGTCCACGAGACGAGGTCCCAAATAGTTTGCTATGCCCGTCTGGGCCGTGGCGGGCTCGAAGGACGCGTCGGCATAGACATGCAGAGCCATGCCCCCGCTGCACTGACAGGCCAAGCCATAGTGCCGAGTCCCAGCCAGGTGCCTCAAGATCTTCTTGCCCAGCTTGAGGGCCCACTCCGGGTGAACAGCGGCCGCCGAAGCCAAACGAGACACTGCAAACGCCACGTCGGGGCGCGTGCGGCTCGAAAGCCATAGGAGTCCGCCCGGCATCCTCTGTGCAAGACGGACCTGACCTATGTCGACGGCCTCCTCCTCCTCCTCGTCCCCGTCCGCGATCTGCTCGGGCAGGGGGTCGATTACGATCGTGCCCGCGCCATTGCCACGATCCAGGCCCCACTTGGCCAGCAACTCTTCAAGATATTCCTGCTGGTGGACGTAGTACCCGTCAGCGCGTGCTTGAATCGAGAGAGACAAGTACTTGATGCTGCCGGGGTGCACAGGAGATATCAACGACTGCACTGAACAGGTCCACGTCGACTCCAACATGTCAGATACTGCTCTGATGGCAGCCGTCTCTCCCACAATCAGAAAGTCGTCGACGTAGACGCAGACGTAGCCCATCACGCGGTCCTGCTGATTCACGATCGCCCACAAACACTGGTCAACCTGTGATTGCCGGAGCTGGCTACGCTCACCTTCGACCATGATGACCTTCTCGCGTAGGGTGCGGTCACGCTTCTCCACCCACGCACGCGGAGCGACACGCAGACCATATATGGCCTGTTTCACACGCCACAGGGCCCCGGCCTGCACCAGCCCGAAACGGGCGAGGATAGACAGAGGCCGGACGATGACCTCCCCAGCTTCTGGCGGCAGCTCCGCGTTCAAGAATGCTGTGGCCACGTCCAGGGCAGAGCATGCCCACTTGTTCGCAGCTGCGACGGCTAATACAAGCCGCAGGCTGGCCACATCCACCGCCGCGCTGAAGGTCTCCTCGCCGGGGGTCTGCGGCTGGAAGTTGCCGCAGATGCAGCCGCGGGCCTTGTGCTTGCGGCCGCCGCCTTCGGCCTCGCTGCGAGGCTTCGTGCCGAGCACCATCTTCATGGGCAGGACCTTGCGGGCTGGCGTCGATGCCACCTCCGCGGCACTGAGAGTCTCGAAAGCGCCCTTCCCGCGGAGGGACTCGAGCTCACCGCTCAGGGCCTGTCGCCATGCCTCCCGCTCAGCCCCGAAGCTCTGGTCCACCTCGCGAACCGTTGCTGGGGCAAGCCCGCTCTCCTTGAACACGTGCTGGAAAACTGGAAGGTCGGCATCCTCCTCCTGCTCCTCATTCGCCTCCGTCTCGGTCAGAACCCCCGCCGCTGCTGCTAAGGGAACCCGGCTGCGAATGGTGTCGTGGTGATGGAGCAGACTGACTGGAAGGCCAGCGACGGCCGCGACCCCGGCCGCCGGCCCGAGCCTGCACCGCGCGTCTCGCGTGTGAGACCTGTGCCGCCCACGGCACGCCGGGCAGGAGAAGAAGCGCTCCTCGGCCGGCAGTTGGAAGATGTCGTCGCCGCCGCCTCCTCCTGGCGCCGCTGTCCTCCTGGCGTCTGCTGCCTCCCCCTGACCTCCTGGTTTGCTCCTGACCTCAGCCTCCTGCTCCTGGGCGCGATCCTCCTCAGCGGGATGTTGTCCCGGCCGCGTGGCCGATGGATCCTCCTCGGCCTGTTTCTCCTCCTCCTCCTGGTCTCCTGGCGCCGCAGCGGCGGCGGGGCGACCTGCGCCGTTGGCACCGCCTCCGGCGTCGCCCAGCGCGGTGTCTGGGAGCACGGCCGAAACGTCGATCACGAAAGAGCTCGACACCTCGAAACTCCACTCCTCACCCTTCCTGGCGCCCCGCGCCTTCCGGCCCAACAAATAGCCGCCGGAGGTATGGTCCTCCGCGCCCAGGAAAATCATCTCCTTGCCTCGCGCCGCGAAGCTGGCCTTGGGCGGGTCCTTCGCCCTGGCCGTGACGGGGTCCCCGAATGCTGGGCATGTGATCGGCCGCCCCATGGCTGCGCGCCGCTGGCACCAGCTTGCGTGCTGCACGGCCGCCGGCCACAGCCATTACTGATCAGCAGCCGGCAATGACATTAGCATCGCCCTCGCACGGCCCTTGATGAGGCCGATCCCGCGCTATGCGCGGCCGTTGTTGTTGGACTCGTAGCCCGGCGTCCGGGTGACCACGATCTGCTACGTGGCGAAGTGGGCCCGCGCGCGTGGCCCGCATGGATGCGGAAGACCGCCTGCCCCTGGAACACGAGCCCGATCGCCGCCACCACGGCGTCCAGCCCCCTGATGCACTCCTCCGCCGTCTTGCGCTCCAGCGGCACGGTGAAGTACCAGACCCTCGCCTCGGAGTCGTCCAACTCCGCACGGGCGTCGCCATCAGCAGCGCTGCCACTAATGTTCCCAGAAAGGCCTCCGGGAACATCAAACAACTCGGCGTCGCTAGCTGGCGCGGCCGCCCTCGCGTCCGCGATGTTGCGGCCCTGCTGCGTCACCTCGGCACGCGTCATCACCTGGTACGCGCACAGCAGGAAGTACTGCGCCCTCCTCGGCGCGTCCTCCTGCAGCGAACTCGGCCAGCGCCCCGGCGGATGGGGGCCGCTCAGATCAGCCGAAAGCTGCCCGCCTGGCCGGGTCGCCGGGTCCAGGCGGTAGTGTGGGCGCATGCGCCCTGCGGCGAGCCTGCACTCGCGGCACTCCGCCATGAAGGTGGGGTGCCCTTCGGCTCGGTGCTTCGCCAGCTCCGTCAGCGAGACTGCGGCCTTGATCGCCTGGGCCACCGTGGCGCGACCACGCGCCAAGCGCAGAGCAGCGCGAAGCTGCCGCAGCACCTCAGCATCGTCCTCCGCGATGTACATGCTGCCCTCCACGCGCTGCAACTCCAAACTTCTGTGGTCTGGCAGCCGCAGCGTGCAAGCCTCAGGCATCCACTCGAGCCCGAGCCCGCACTCCTCGATGTAGATCCCCAGCGGGAAGAGTGGCTGAAGAGGGGTATCGGACTCGACGTACACCACGTCGTCTTCTCCCATCCTGGCCTCCATGCTCCCCGTCGCCGTCTGGAGATCGACGCGCCGCGACTCGACCCCAGGGTCACCCCCCACAGGGATCGAACGCAGCTCGTGCGTGGCGCCCGTGTCGGCGAGCAGCATCCGCTTGCCGCCAACTTTCCCCAAGCGCGCCACGGCTACCGCCGCGCGCGGGCCTGCCGCCGGAGCCAGCGATGTCGCCCATCTGTCCAGCCACCCAGGGTCCGCGTCCACGGGCGCGACAGCCAGCGCAGCGCCAGGCAGCCCCTCGCCTGCCAGAGCCTTGATCGTCGCAGCCACCACTGATCCGAGCTGACCCGCCTGCGATGCAGGCTGCGTCTGCGTTCCCGCGCCGCCTGGATCCGCAGCCGAGGCAGAACTGCCTCCAGGCTTCGTGGCAACCTCTGCTGCCTTGGCCGCCGCCTCGCGCTTCGGGCGCGTGCAGGCGTCCTTGGAGTGCTCCTTGCTTCCGCAGTTGAAGCACTTCCCCTCGCTGGCCAGCAATTTGCGGTGCGGCCACGTGCACGCCCCGCCCTGCTTGCAGCCGGCGTCCGACTCGAAGAACCTGCACGAGTTCGGTCGTTCTGAGTCCTTTCCCTTGTCCTTACCCGCGCCCTAGGCGGTCGCCTTCGCTGTGGCCTTGGCCTTAGCCTTGGCCTTGGCCTCAGCCTTGGCTCGACCCTCAATGGCAGCCACGCGCTCGCTCACCGACTTGGCCGTCGGCGCGGGCTCCTGGCCATGGGCCTCGCGAGCCTCCGCGCTCAGGTAGCGCCAGAACTCGTCCACCTGCGCCTGGCTTAGCATTCCAAACAGACCGTGGTTCATCTGGAACGCGTGCAGCCTGTACTGGAACGCCGAATCCGCGGCCGCCATGCGCTGCACCATCTGGCGCAACGTGTCCGCCTGGACGGTTGGGTCGGGAGCGGCCATGCCCAGCCGCTGGAGGCGCGTGAGGTCGAACTTCCACCTCTGAAGAGAATCAAACACATCCTGCACTTGCGGCCCCCCATGCTGATGCTCACGTAATTCGACCGCCTTGAGCGTCAGTTTCTGGTCTTGCAGCGTGCCCGGTCCCGCCTCAACCATCGTCGCAAAGAGTACGTCGACGACGCTGGTGGCGCGGGTGTTGAGGGCTGCCTGGCGCACGCTCTCAGGAACGGCCTCCAATAGGATCGGCCGCAACTTGAGCTCAATGCCGATCTGCTCAGGCTGCACCCAATCGGCCGCGGGCCGCACCATCGGCCGCTGCATTGGGCCGAGCTGCAGGTAGTCATCGTAAGCCGCTGCTGTGACCTCCTGCGCCCGTGCCCAGTACGCCTCAATGGCTCTGTGCCACCCGCCGATTCGAAGACTGGCACGCTGCAGCCACTTCTCAAAAGCCGCCGCTTTAGGCGCCCCTTTCGTGAACTCCAGCTTCGGGATGTCCGTGTCGCGCAGCTTGGCCAAGACCGTCTCCAAGCTGCTCGCGCTTCCACTGCCGCGGTCGGCAGCCTCCGCGCCGCAAGCGGATCCACCGAACGGCGGAGGCGGCGGCGGGGGAGGAGCTCCGCCATGAGCTCCTGGAGCACGACCTCCTCCATGCACTCCGCTGCTGGGAACCCCGCCTCCCTGGGGAACTCCAGGATGACCTCCTCCTCCTCCTGCTCCTCCCGGGAGATCTCCGCCTGGCGGTCCGCCGCCTGGCGGTCCGCCGCCTGGGGGAGGCGGCAGCCACTGCAAATTCTGCGGCCAGCATCCGCCAGCGTGCATTGGCCAAGCGTTGCCACGACCTGGCGGCTGTGTCATGCTCGGAACTCCTGCGCCTGCCGGTGGAACGCCAGCGTGGCCCGTCGCCCCAGGCATGGCCCACGTGCTGCTCCCCGAAGTCGACGGGCCAGCCGCGCTCGTGGCCGCCACGCCCGCTGCCGCTTGCACCACCAGCTGAACGGGCTGCGGCACCGATTCGACCATCAGCGCCGCGGCTGCCTCTGCAGCCTGTCCTCGCGCCGCGTCCTCCGCAGCACCTGCGTCATCCTGCTGCTGCTGAGTCGACTCCTGCGCCTGGGGAGTCGTCGGACTAGCGATATCCCTCGTGTGCCCGACGCTCTCGTCGTCTCCCGGCGTCGCGAAGCCACCCAGCACTGCCTCCCCGGACGGGCACGCGGCCATCTGGCTCTCCAGCTCAGAGTTCCTGCGCATGAGCTCCTGGACCTCTCTGCGAAGCCGGTGCACCTCCGAGTCCGCCTCTGGGAGCCCTGCCAGCTGCGCGTCACCGCCCTGGGCTGACAGCTGTGGCAGCGCGCGCGGGCGCGCAGGCGGCGCGATCATGCTCGCCCCCGCCTACGTCTGCCTGGCGCCTGCAACAGCGCCGCCGGCCAGCCACATTGCGCCAGTCACCGCTCCAGAAGCTGCGGCGCCGAGCACTTGTCCGGCAAGTTGTCCTCCAGCCGCGGCTGCCCGGCCCATGTGCGCCGCCACGTGGTGTGTCCATGTGGCCTGGCGTTGCGCCATCACCATGTCGCGCTCAGCCACACATGCGAAGCATACCGGCGTCATCCCGTACACCTGCATGCAGTGACTGTGGACCTCGGCGCTGCAGACGCCGCAAACCACCGCAGGTCCAACCACATAGTCCAGGCAGCTGCGACACTGCCGCGCATGTTGCAGCGTTGGGCTCATAACCCTTTGCAGGGCTCTGCTGTCGACCGGCCCCGCGAACGAGTCCCCGATGGGATCCATTGTTCCTGGCTCTACTCTGTATGCTCCGGCACCTCTGGAATCCATCTTCTCTCGGCGATCTCGGTCAATAGTCGGATGGCCTCTTCTCTGCTCAATGGGAGTGGTTGGCTCAAACTCCCGTTATTTATGCTTCGGGTCCGGAGCGCTCGGCACACCAATGTATCTGTTGATATCAGTAAGCGTTTATACAGCCTGGACTGCTGAGTGGAGGGTTTGCGACTATTTTTTTCCACTGGTTTGGCAACCATGGTTTAGTCTTGAGCCAAGGTGGTTTCGGACATAAGCTGTCCTGATGCCGGAGGCGGCATTGCTACGCACCTCCGGTCAGAGCGCCCAAGCACTGTGGCAATCTAAACGGTCGCCGTGGCGCCGGCCAGCGCCCTGCGGAAACTGTGACAAGCCCGATCTCGGGCAAGAAACTCGAACCGGAAGTTTTTAATTCGCGCCTCGGGGTCGTCAGGCCCGACCGCCCACCCCAAGAGGCAAGAAAACGACCGATGAACACTTGGATCAAAAATCCCGGCCCGTCGTTTTAACGCTGCGGTGATCTGTACGTGCTATGCCTCACGCACCGCACTGCACAAACGGAAGCAACGAAATTGTCACGAATTTCGGCTCTGCCGAGCCTGTTCTTCCACGGGGGGCGAAGGGGGGGACCCCCGGGTTCCAGAGGAAGAGGTGGGGAATTTTCCACAGTGAAGCGGCGGTGGATCACGTTTTCTCATCCTATCCATACCCCATTGTCTCCAACTGTCCGCCGTTATCTCCTGTTGTCTTTCCCGAATCCCTTTATCCCTATCCGTATCCAGATCCCTACTCCTAGATCCCTGTCCCTCCATTCCCAGCCTTATATCTTTACCAGAGTCCCCTATTCATAAACACCCCTTCCCACACGCGTCAAAGTACCCGAGACGTACCCGCCCTTTCTCCAGACGAGGCGAATGATTGCATGAACGCTCCCCTCATCTCCGCCGTGCCTCCCAGGAGCCCACGACAGTGGTTAGAGTTGCGCAGTTCGCGGCCACCCAGGGAGCTGCAAGGTCTCGGCTGGATGCGCTACTCCGCTGCTTCGCCGTGCCCATCAGGAGCCCCCTGGAGTAGCGACGGTTGCGCAGCTCGAAGCCGCCCAGGAAGCAGCGCAGGAGGAGGCAGGAGGAGGGGGGCGGAACACGAGGGGGCGGAGGAGGTGGGAATCACAATGCTCGTATACGAAACGAGAACCCCAGGAGGAGGTGGGAACCCAACACACAATGAGAACCCAACAAATAATGCAAACAAACAAACCAAACAAAACAAGTGTTCGTTTTCTTATTGTTTTGCCGGTCGGCGCGGGCCATCGCCCCCCCCCCCCCCGTGGAGTAGATGTTGGCTGTTTTTTTGAATTTGTTTCGAGCAGGTGGAGTCTTCCCCACAGCACGCACGGTTGCCAACAGTCGCACTAAGCAGAGGTCTGGAGCTAGACCATTCCCCCCTCCCCCCCTCTTCCGCCCAGTGTCGAAACGCCGAATTCCAAGTGAGGAAAACCATGCGGACCGGACAATTGGCTTTTACTAAACGGCCGTGGGCGTCTACTAAACAGCCCTGGCCTGTTCGATTCCTTTTTTGGGCGCGTTTACTAAAGGCCTCGCGTGTCGGGGCGGTCATGATATCGGGGTGGAGTTTCTGCCCTCTAGAATAAGAAAACGTTGACAAAAGGACGGCTGGGGGACAACTATCCAACAGACATGCTGCCTCCAAGCTCTGGGACAGATGCTCCCGCGCCCCGCGACCGCTGCATCACTGGTTTTTGGCAGGGGCGACGGAGGGGGGCTCGTACTGCTTGCTGCGCGCAGGCCAATCACCCTTCCCAGACAGGAATTTGACGTGCCCCCAGAAGTTGCTGCCTGGGGACTTCGGGGGACGAACAAGGACAGAAATATAACAACTCGGAGGTCCGCGCGGATTTCTCCGGCGCCGCCCCTGGCGCGCTCCGCGCGCCGGGGAGTGGGCTCCAGCGCGGATCCGAGAAGTCCGCGCGGACCTTCCGAGTTTTCATGCTCATGCCACTCTTCGTTGCCCCCGGGCTGACCTTGCGATCGGCTCAGCTCTGCGCTGACAATGGCTCGTGCCAAGCTGTCGTGGTGCCGCTGCCGACCAGGCGTGAGCAGCAGCGGCAGTTCACCGAAAATCTCTGGAGCACGAGCGGGCGCCCCGCGGCCGCTCGGCTCCTGGTTCCCGGCGGGGTCGGGCGGGGTGCCCTCGCGCCGCCTGCTGCGCGCGGGCCGCATCGCAAGCAGCATCGCAGCGTGCACGGTGCCTCCAGGTCTGGAGCAGAGGCGGGCGCGCCTCGACCACTTCGGACTCAAAGGAGGACTCGATCCACAACGCTGTAGAGCACAATCGCGGCACGGCTCGTCGCAGTTCGGCACGGCGCAGCACAGCGTAGCCCCCGGCACGGTACATCAAGATCGATACACACAGCATTGCATTTGCCCGTCGCCTAATCCGGTGTCTTTGAAAACGTTGCCACGCCTTACATTTCTGTATTCCTTTCCAGGCTCGTGGGTCGATAATGTTTGGCTGGGACGGCGGGGTTGCCCTCACACTGCTTGCCGCGCGCGGGCCAAGCATCCCGAAGTGTGGAGCATGCACGGGCGTCCCAATGTTTAAGCCTGGCCTGTCCCTCTACAGAAGGGATATTTAAAAGTAGTCAAAATGGTCTGGGGACGATTTGTTGCGTATTCGTGCATATTTGTTGAGTTTGTTTTTTGCTATTTAAAATCCCGTCCCAAGTCCCATTGTAAGGGGACACGCACGACCTAGCCCAAGACCACAGTTGCATTGGTTTTCGGCGGGGGGACTGGTGGTACTCGTGCTGCGCTGGGGGGGCGGGTGGGAGTGAGCGAGACGGCATGCGCCTTGTGGGCTGGACGTGTCTTGATCCTTATCCCTATCCTTAAGTCGGGCCTGTCCCTCTACAGAAGAAATAACCGAAACAAGTTTAAAACAATGTCGGGGGACGATTGTTTGAATATGTTTGGCCATTTGGGGGTATTTCGTAATATCCTTAATTTGTCGTCCAAAATCCGCCTGCAGGGGAGCATGCCCGACCTAACCCTATCCCTCCATCGCGACCCCCCGTTGTGACACCCCACTGCGGCCCCGATCGTACGCAATTGTGGACAATTGTTAGGGGTCCTTCTTGCCGCAATAGTCCCAGTTGGGAACCCCGCGCTCCCCCGCTGCCTCGAGTCTCCACGTGGCCGGTGATCCACCCCTTCAGCAACAAGCGTGTGCTCTGGTGCCTCCTCGGGGCTATGCTGCTCGCCTACGACGCGGTCGTCATACCCTTGGAAGCGAGCACGCTACTGAAAGGACCGAGCGGGGCTGCGCCCCCCGCGGTGGCACGTTCCGAGCGCATGGCCGTGCGAACCGTAGTGGTCAATGCCATGACGGGTGCCCTGTGTGCGTGCGCCGTTCAGCCCGCCCCCGAGAGGTGTGATATGCGAGAATGAGGAAGAGAGGGGATCGGGGTCGGCGGTGAGTAGGGAGAGGGCGGGAGCGAGGATGAAGCTGGGAGGGGAGGAGAAGAAGCAGAAGGAGGACGAGGAGGAGGAGGAGGAGGACAGCGGGGAGCGGAGGATTATGAGGATGAGGAGGGAACAGCAGAGAGCAGGATGGATGGAGAAGGGAAGAGAATTGCTGCCGGATGAGGGATGAGGAAGTTGTGTTCCCCGTGGGTGGACGGTGTCTTGGGGCATGTATATGGGGCCTCCGTCTACGTGTGTCCGCTTCGCGGCTGGGGAGACCCGTTGAACTTCTTAGCTGCTTGAGGGTGCCTTGGCCACACTCCTCTTTCCATCAGCTGCAGGTTGCCCGCCCCCTGCCTTGGTGGGAGGTCGGCATTCCTCCGCCAGGCCGCGGAGGACTAATCCCTGGGCCTGTGAACAGCCCGCATATCGAGCAGAGACAGACACGCACCTGGCAATGGGCTCGGGCAGCATAGCTGGAGTGAATTATTCTGTCTGCAACGCTATAGTCAACCCGCATAGTAAGGATGGGCAACCTTTCCAAGGGTACCCTTGCATCCTTCCGTCCTCGGCCCATCCTTGGCCACTTCGCTGGCCGCGCCCCGCTCGAAAAGCATCGAAATGGCCTTCCAAGGCCCTTGCATCCTTATCGCGCATCCTTATGATATGGGCCGACTGTACTTCCAGGCGGCACAGGACATGAATGCTGCGAAACCTCGTCTCTAACAGGAACGTATTGGGAAGCCAACCAGCCCGCCACCTCATGGCGATCACCACTGCTGCTTTCCAGACACCGTCTGCATGAGAATCGGGGGACCTCCTTCCCCCCCGCACCCTTCGGCCGCACCACGTCGTTCGCCGTCCGAGCCAGCAGCAAGCCGAAACTCTCTGCACGAGCAAACTTCGGCTCCGGCGGTGCATGGGCAACTCGGTTCGGGCCCCGAGAGTCACAACTCGCGCTCTCGGCGAGCACCGCCGCCTGCCTCCTACGAACTCTCGCTACGAGCTGGGAGCTGGCGACGGGTCCTTTATCAGCCTTGACGTCCCTGGGTTGGGGCATTATCCCGAAGAGAGGGCCTC